TTCTCATCCGTCCTCCTTCTCTGTAACTGGATTTCAGTTCAGTTCAAGGTTTAGCTGTGGGTGTCTGCTTCTACTTCCACCAGCCTGGATGAAGGTTCTAGGATGGCATATAAGTTAGCCATCAATCTCATTATCAGGAGAGGGCATTTAAGGTAGCTTAGACTGCTTAGATTGTTAGTTGGTGTCATCTTTGTAGTTCTCCAGACATTTCCCTAGTGCCTGATTTCTCTTTGAACTCCCTCTATTATATTATCTCTTATCTTGCTCTCTTCTGTTCTTCCCCCAACTCAACCTCCCTGCCCCATCTACTCCTAGGTTTCTTTGAGAGTTAATACTCCAGAAAAACAGTGTATGATTAGTCCAAAGCAGGCTGTTGACAGCACTTCAAGTTTTTGGTAACCAGGATGGGTAAAAGTTGTATCTCAGTTGTAACCAACTGCATCCCCTTTGGTCATAAAAGAAGGGAATAATGCACAATATTATCAGGATTTGTGATTTTAATCAATAAAAGTCATAGATATATTTCAGTAGCTACAGATGTGTCAAATTTCCTCTTATGCTCATCACTACTTAAAATGCTGTCTTACACCTTAGATTGTTATTTAATGTCTATGGAAAGAAGCATGTATGTTTTCAATAACTTACCTTTATGTTTTGATGATGTTTATTCAGTGTAATTTGTAGTTATATGTATTTGCTAAGCATAAAATCTTTAGGGATTTAAAGGCTCACAAGGTTCCCAGAAGTTTGACACTAAAAAAAATTTTAATCCCTGATGACCAGTAAATAATGTAGCCTAGTGTACATTAGTAAGGTAGCCAAGAGACTATTTTCATCAGGGAAATTATTCAAGATATTGGGATCAATTAGCTATTTAATGTGTACCTGAAAATGAAATGTTTCTAAATTCCAACCTTCCAAGTGAGTATAGTTGGAAAACTCTAGAATATGCTCAACGAAGAACACAAACACGCACTAGAAAAATTGGTAAATTAAGTTTTTCTGAGGGCCTATAGGAGGTCTGCTTTCAAGGCCCACAAAATTACTTAATTTCGGTCTCTACTTGTGATTTCAGACCAGCGGGCCCACTGTTCTGGGCTCCATCTTCATTCAGAGCCTCCCAGGACACTGTTGGGGGTGAGGGGGGATGGTGGGATGGTTAACAGATGCTGAGTACTCTTTGAGGAAGGTGAAAGCTCGCTGGAGGTTGCCACGAGGTCACCCCCACCCCCAAACTTCAAAGCACCCATGGTACGCCCTACATTTTGGAGCGTTTGCTCTCCTTGTCCGTGGGGGGGGGGGGGAGAGTTGTGGCCCAATATGTAGAACAGCACGGAACTCAGGTCTTTGCAGCCACCCCAGGAACCAGAACAAAAGCCAAGCAGCACTGGCTGAGCAGCACCGGCTGAGCTTCCCGAGCAGGCGGGGCGGGGGGGGGG